TTCTGCTCCTGAAGTCTGTCTCAAAGGTGCTTTTTCAAGAGGCAACTGGACTTTCTGGTTTTTCTTTGAAGGCGTTTTGCTCCTCATCCAAGAAGCTTCTTCAGCTCTGAAGCAAAATGTATTCAAAGAAAACCCAGGAAGCCCAGTTGTCTCTTGAAAAGGCACTTTTGGGACAACTATGACCTGGATGACTGAGAATCTCCATAAACATCTCTAGAAGTCTGTTTCTGCTTGTTTCCTGTGGATGCCCCTTCCTACCCAGATTTCTTCTCCTATGCCTCAATCACTTTTGGCTCTGAGGGAGATCAGAACCTGCTTTCATAATCACTTTGTCTGCTCCCTCCCCCCTGGCTTTTTTTAAAAAAATGGGATGGTGGCTCAGTGGCTAAGACGTTGAGCTTGTCGACCAGAAGGTCAGCAGTTCGGTGGTTCAACTCCCTAGTGCCCCATAAGGGAGTGAGCTCCCATTACTTGTCCCAGCTTCTGCCAATCTAGCAGTTCAAAAGCATGTAAAAATGCAAGTAGAAAACTAGGAACCACCTTTGGCGGGAAGGTAACACTGCTCCATGTGCCTTCGGTGTTTAGTCATGCTGGCCACGTAACCATGGAGAAGTCTTTGGACTTCAGCTTAAAAATGGAGATAAGCACCGCCCCCTAGAATCAGGAACAACTAGCACAGATTTGCGAGGGGAACCTTTACCTTTAAGATCAACTAGCATACAGTATTCCTGGATCAAAAGCCTGTAACTGAAGTGTAATTCTAGGAATGTCTGTTCTACTTCTGTAAGGTGTCTGGAAGCAAATAAGGATCCCATTGTCCACATCTCTCAGATCCCATTGTCCACATCTCTCAGAAGCCCTGATTTCTCATTTCTTTCCTTCATATGATGTTCTTAGCATATAGTTCCCACAACGATGCCTGTAACTAACCCTTTTTTTAAACTTCAGCTCTTTACCAGCACTCAAGCAGTAGCTGTGCAAATGGGGATAATCAGTAGATGGCAGCCAACAGATACAAAAACTCTCTGCTCTACTGGTTGTTAAGTCAAACAGTCAAATAAATGAGTACAGCTTGAGGAAATTACAAAAAAAAGTTCCGTGTGACAGCAAAACAATGATTGGGCCAATTGCTGTGCATGGGATAACAAGAACATGGTGCAGAACAACTGGAGGAGATCTCACACTGTGGAATACGGTGGATAGAGCTTGAATTTCAGTCGATTTCAGTCCCTTAGAATGGTGTGTGTGTGTGTGTGTGTGTGTGTGTGTGTGTGTGTGTGTGAGAGAGAGAGAGAGAGAGAGAGAGAGAGAGAGAGAGAGAGAGAGAGA